CCTCTGTTCTTAATTGAATTCTTGAAATTATGACCGATTAGTAAGCGTAGCTACAAAGCGGAGTCTCGGAGTAACTGGTAAAGTTACTGTCATGTGACCAGGAAGTCATGGGTTCAAGCCGTGAAAACAATCTCTTGCAGAAATGCAGGATAAGGCTGCGTACAATAGACCCTTGTGGTCCGGCCTTTCCCGGGACCCCGCGCATAGCGGGAGCTTAGTACTTCGGGTTGTCTTTGTGGTTCGGCCCTTCCTCAGACCTCGCGCATAGCGGAAGCTTAGTACACCGGAATGTCCTTTAGCAAGCTTAGCCACCGAGCTTTAATTTAGGGGACAAGAGCGCATCGCGTGATGTGTAGGTTAGGCGCATGTCGCGGATTCAAATTTTACCCGAACAAACCGAAATATTTATGTCGAGAAGGATAGAGGGCCAATCTCATTATAGATCGAGAATGTGGAACCATGTTCCATTGGCCCTTGAAAATTTCTTGGTTACAGAAAAAGTACGGTACTCATTTAATATTTAAGTCTATAAAATTCCAAATGATTATAACCTTTGAAATTGCCAATTAGAACTCTCATTTAACAGCAATGTTCTTTCCTTTTCCCAACTTCGGCAACTATCAATCAGATTGATTTTCTTTTGATCTTTCCAACTTTGGCAACTAACAAGCTTTTCAGATTCCTCTTTTCTGTTCCCATAAACAGTTTTGTGCCAAGCTAATTCACATTCGAGAGAAAAATAAATAAATAAATAATAGAAACCCCTCTGCATGTTTGGTAACATCAGAAAGGTTCCAAAGCACTAATAAAAATCTCAATGATTGAAATTTTAAATATTTTCTTTTTGGGGTTTTAGTTTTATATAACAGATTACAGAATATCACAAAAAAGATTGTAACAAAAACTACGCCTCAATCCCAAAGAAGTTGAAGTCGGTTATATGAATCATTACTTTCCATGTCGTATCCGTCTTAGTGTCAGTGTGACTATTACAATGATTGGTGTAATTTAAATTATAACGAAGATTTGGAACTTAATCTTAGGGGTACGCTGGAAGTTCGAGAATTTAGATGTCTCCTTTTTTTTTCTTTTTTTTTTGGTAATTGAGAATTTAGATGTCTGTTTCCTTGTACTTTCAAAATCCAAGATATCAAAGAATCCTCGACTTTTAACCACATTTTTGAAATTTTTAGCAAACCGTTATTAGGATCTTAGACAATATAGTGCAAAAGCACCTAACTTGTCCCCTAATTTACTTGTACCACAAGCAAATTCCTAATGAAATTCGCCTGCAATTGCAAGTCAAAGATATATCTGTTTCATATCTTCATACATCCTTGTCAAAATAGAGAAACACTTACTCACACCCAGTGTTTGTGCTAATCCAACGAATACATGGCTTTGTGTTTCACTATACACTGTTATTGCTTAACCATGGTTAATTAATATAGATACTCACCTCAATTTTATATCACTTTGCTATGGCAAGCTAATGTAATCCAATAAATGAAATGTGTCTTTATATAAACTGTCATCACTTAACATAGTTAATTAATATGCATACTCACCTCATTTTATCAATTAACTATGGCAAACTAATGTAATTTAGTGTAAACGTCAAGTGTGGGTTATCACTATCACACAAGTTGGTTCAGACCACTAAGATAATAGTTTTGAGATTATTCTTATCAAGAAAGAGGCCATGTCATACAACAACAACATCAACAACAAACCCAGTGTAATTCCACAAGTGGGGTTTGGAGAGGGTATTGTATACGCGGATCTTACTCCTACCTTGTGAAGGTAGAGAGTTTGTTTCCGATAGACCTTCGGCTTAAAAAATAATTGATTAGTAGTTCTCCCCCAGTGGTCAATATCTTTTACAATAATATAGTTTCTAATAGGAGCATCTGAAGGTTGGCAAGGAAACTGAGAAAGTAGCATCCTCAATTATCTAAAACAAGTAATGCAAGGTCCAAAAAGGTTGCTAGGGAAAGTAAAGGCAGAATTCCCTGCATTCAAACTGAAGTTGAACAGAATGTCAAAAGTCATACTTGAGTTTTACCCATGTAGACCTTATTTGCTGCTTTGAGTTCTCTATAAATACTCGAATGCCATCACTTCCCTGCAACAGCAACTCGTTCTCTTTGCTTAATTCCCTTTCTTGTGATCATAATCCAAATGGCTCCTCTTCAACTTCTTGCAGTCTTTGCAGCATCTTTTATCTTCATGCAAACTCTGGGAAATTCTCAGACATGCCTGGATTGTTTCGTTCATTCTCGTGCAGCCCACTATCCAAATTCAGAAGAAAAAGGAACAGAAAGTGAGATGTTTAACATGCATAGTTGAACAATAACATGCACCTAAAATGGAGAAAATAAAAGTTTTCTCATAGAATAACCTTTTGTGTTTGATTGCATGCAGCTGGGAGTTGTGGATTTGGTACTTTTGGAGCAACAATCAATGGCGGAGATGTGTCAGCAGCATCAGACCTCTTTCGAAATGGTCTAGGATGTGGTGCATGCTACCAGGTAATGATAAAAAAAGGAAGAAAAACTATAGTCGATAAATAGATGATAACTAGCCAAGATTTTCAAATATAAGATGTCATTCCGGACTCTACCTTGTTTTGCTAGGTGAGGTGCACCAATAGTAACTATTGTTCTGATAAAGGAGTGACTGTAGTTATAACAGACCAAGGAGCAGGTGATCGCACAGACTTTATTCTAAGTAAGCGAGCCTTTGCTCGTATGGCTCAGACGACAGATGCTGCTGCTTCTCTATTATCATTTGGTGTGGTGGATATCGAGTATAGAAGGTAATATGTATAATTGGGAAATATGGATATTAATTCATCGTAATACATAAGGTATCCATAAGCAATTTCTCTTCTGTTTGAGGGAGACTCACATATTTGTCGCTCTTTCACCATCGAACAGGGTCTCTTGCAGCTATCCAGACAAAAATATTACAATCAAGATTGAAGAGAGCAGCGACAATCCTCATTACTTGGCTTTTGTGATATGGTATCAACAAGGCAAAAAGGATATTACCGCTGTGCAACTATGCGAGGTACATCTGCTAGCTTTCAAGAACCTAACATCTGTTTCATCTTTAAGAATGCCCTCAAGTTTCCACACAGTAAGAGTTTCTAATATATAAAGACATAAAGTAAAACAAGTAATAATGAAAATACATATGTACCTTAAGAAGAAAGATGTACATATACTCGGGGTAAAGAAATAACAATAGAAGAATTTGAGGCTGCTTCATCTGAATTCCAAAGATTTTGAATACTACTCTCTTTCAATATGCAGACACAAAATTTTGTATGCAAGCTGTTGGACAGGACACGTGGAGCAGTGTGGACTACTACTTCACCTCCAAGGGGACCTTTGCAAATCAGAATGCTATTGAGTGTTGATGATGGAGATGAGACCTGGGTTGTTGCTGTCAATAATATACCTGAGAACTGGAAAGCTGGTGACACATATGACTCAGGAATACAAGTGGATGCATAAACACAAAGGGCTCTGTTGCTAAGATTAACTTGTCACTAAATAAGTTTAGCGGTTCTTTAATGATGTTACTCTATGCAGCTATCATTCTTTCCTGCTAGTAATTCAAGTCAACAAAACGATCCTGACTCAATTATGTATTTTCAACAAATAAGGTTTTAAGTTTTAAAGCAGTTTTTCATATTGATCATGACCGGATTGTATGAAATACAGAACTTATCTAAATTTATTGTTCTAAGCTGTGCATCAGTGCATGAGCCCATCGTCTTCCTGAATAGGCATCCACCAATACACATTCAATAGGTACATTACATAGACATTCCTTAAAGTATTAAATTCTGCATTGCACAGAATTACTCCGTTTCATTTTATGTGAAGATGTTTGACTGGCAATGGAATTTAAGAAAGAACGAACGAAAGAAAGAAAAACGTTTGGAACTTATAGTCTTAAGCATGATATGGCATTTTTGTGTATATAAAATCATGTCATTAAGGGTAAAATGGGAAGTTTAGAGTTAAAAAAATTTTAATATAGAAAGATGTCATTCTTTTTGGAACAGACTAAAAAGGAAAGAGTCTCACGTAAAACGGAACAGAGGGAGTAATCTTTTATTCAAAATATGTTTATGTTCAACTATTTTAGCATATTATTTCGTATGTAAACTAAAGTTCTTCAATTAGATCAGAGGTCTGATTGTTCAAACCTAAAATATTGCCTGCATTACATTAAACAACAAACTTCTGCACATTAATTCAAAGCAAATGCTAGCATTTATTGGGAAATACAGCCACCAAAATTAACCTGTACAAATAGGACATTAGTTCTCGTCACAAGACTCTAGACATGAGAACCTCTTAGCTCTTAATAATAACACAAGTAACCAAGAAGAGGCAAAGAAGTCAACTGCAAACATACTATAGTAGCTGTGGTTGTTACAGACAAAGGGGATGAAACTGTGATCATTACAGATACAAAGGAAGACAGCTATATGGCTAGAATCCATCAGCTATCTCAGCCTAAAGAATCTTCAGATATATTATGGGGAAAAACCCCAAAGTAGGAAATCTTGGAGTGCTCAGCTTATTAACTTTGGATTTCACTGCCATATGTGATGATCTTAAGTTATCAACTAGTGACTTTTTCTTCAACCTGAGAATATCTCAGCTTTTTTAAAATTCTAAACTTTCAAGAATTCCTCATCAGTGATGTTCACTTTCGCTATTCCAATTGTCAGTCTTCGTCCCACCACAAAAATTGCAGGTCAGTTGTATACAGTCAAACAAGCATATAAATACACTTGCTGTACCAAGCCAAACTTTCTGATGTACCTGAAATATGCGAAGAAACGTGGGTCTCAGCTCAAAAGTTCTTGCAGTTATTTTCTGTGAGTTTGATGTCCTCGATCCGTTATCTCTTTTGGCATCCATGTCTTTGTTGTTGCTTCTCGAAGGCATTCCCTATATTCAAGTTACTCCATTCCATCACCTTTCACTCTGGCATTTGATTTGAGCTCCCATCTCATTCAACATGGAACACAGTATATTTCTCTTGTGTACTGAAACATTTTCTGGAAAACACCACATGTTCGAGTTTGCAAATTGGAATAGGCTAGATCCTGCTTCCTTTCTAATTCCTTTTACAACCATCATATTTCTCACCTTCTCCACGTCATCCCATCTCTCTTGCGCAGCATATATGTTGGATAGAAGCACATAGGATCCAATATCCTCTGGATCCCTCTCAATTAATCTCTTGGCTATGATCTCACCAAGTTCCATATTTGAGTGGGTCTTGCAAGCTGAAAGCAAAGCTCCCCATAATGCCGGTCCAGAGTCCATAGGCATATTCTTGATAAGGTCTTCAGAATCTCTCGTCAAACCAGCTCGCCCAAGAAGATCAACCATGCAACCGTAGTGCTCAACTTTCGGCTCGATTCTATAAACTCTAGTCATCACATTAAAATACCACCAGCCCTCTAATACCATCCCTGAGTGAGTACATGCACTTAGAACACAAATGAACGTAGCATCATTAGGCATCACTCCACTTTTTTTCATCTCCATGAATGTTTCAAGTGCTTCCTCACCGTGACCATGGGTTCCATAACCCATGATCATAGAGTTCCACGACACAACACTTTTCTCTGGCATCTGAATGAATACCTCCTTCGCCAAATCCATCTCCCCGCACTTGGCATACATTGTCAACAGGGCAGTTGAAAGCAACATGTCAGGCTTAATCCTCCCACTATAACTTATATAAGAATGTATCCACTTTCCTAGATCAAGTTTCCCAAAATGTGCACAAGCTGTCAAAACACTCATAAGAATTGCCTCATTTGGCTGAATATCTCTTCCCTGCATCAATCTATCAAACAATCTCAAACATTCCCCATAGTCCTTCTGTCTCACATAAACAGCCATTAAAGTAGTCCAAGAAACTACATCCTGATAATCCATCTGCTCAAACAGAGAACGGGCAGCTACAACATTTCCAACTTTAGCATACCCATCGAGCAAACAATTCCAAGTAACAATATCCCTCAAAGGCATATCCATAAACAGTAAATTTGCAGTCTCCATATCTCCAATCCCCACATATCCAGATAACATGGAATTCCAACTAAAAACATCCCTTTCAGGCATAACATCAAAAACACAACGCGCAAAACTCACTTCTCCATTTTTCACATACCCATCAATCATAGTATTCCAAGTCACCAAATCTGAGTCAGAACTTAAATCAAACACCTTCCGTGCATCACCAATCCGCCAACAAACTGAATACATATGAATCAAAACATTCCTAGTATACAAATCCAACTCAAATCCACATTTCACAATATGGGCATGAATCTTTTTACCTTCTTTTACCATACCCAAATCAGCACAAGCCTTAACCAATATCGGAAACGTGTAATTATTCTGAAAGATCCCATTTTTAACCATCTGATCATGGTAAAAAACCAAAGCCTTTTCAGGTTCATTAAAATTCACATAACTTTTCATAATTGTATTGCAAATAAAAGCATCTGGGGTTTCAAGATTCTCAAAAATCTTTACAGCATGAGCAAAAGTGAGCTGCGAAGAGCAAAGTTTCTTCACTGCTCGACCTGCAGCTAAAGGGTGTTGAAAAATGCCTGAAACTATGAGTTGGGCATGTATTTGATTAAAATGTCTCAATTTTGGGGTGCAAAAATCTAAGATACGTAAAATGGGGTGGCTTAAATTCAATATCTGTACACTATTGTTGTTATATGGGTCAAAAGATTCAGCATTATGTTGATCAGACCAGAGTTTTGGAGTGGGCTTTGAAAGGTTTATTTGGGTTTTGATGAACTTATTAACGTATTCTGAAGAAAGGGAGAGGGATTGCTTGGGATGTTTAAATCTAACGGCCATTTTATCTCCCGCGAAATTTGGCGGCCACTGGAAATGTTATTACTAGAACCCTTAAGAAATTCGTGCTTGCCTGCTTGGTGGAGGGAGAAATACGCGGTACTTTATTGAATTTAGTGACAACATATGATTACTTTATTGAGTACCATATTATATACTAGCAAATTTGCATACATCAACAAAAACTATTTCTTTCTCATGGCGTATCTAATATTTTTATTAAGATTATATTTTTATATTTACTCATTTGTAACATAATACACGTTCCAAATTCGAATAAATGATAGACAGTTACGGTAGGTTGACAGTTAGCATAAAACTTGTTAATTTATGATGAATCCTCATCATACAAATATCATCGGGACGTGCCCACCCAAGCCTGTGTTACGTTGACAGTCGGAAGTGATGGAAATGAGAAATGGGTGTCACCACGAGTTGGAACTGCGGCGTAGTTGATGTTGCTACTCATTTGTAATATATAATCTTTCACATTTTCAATAAGTAAATATCGTAACTGGTGTTTTTCCTTTACCTACTTTTTCATAAAAATATTTTATTTTATTTACCTTTCAATAGTTAGTTTTATTGGACACATATTAGGTTTCTAATAGCCAGAATTTAAGTATTATTGCGAAATTCATGTTAGTTAAGGGAATAGAGAAAATTAGAATGTGAGGGGATAATAAACAGAAAGGGAAAATAAACTGTGTCTTCATAGTTTAATAGACAATTCCAATTAAAACAGCAATTCCAAAACTGCAAAACTCCCGCTTGAGTTCTGTTACTCCATATCTTGCAAGTGTTGTCCCCCCTGTATTTAATACTTAAATTGTGAACGGAAAAAAAATTATGTTTATTCAAGAACTTGAAGCAATTTTACAACTCCCAATGTTTCACTTAATTTATGGAACCGAACAGAAGTTCACAGGCCTGTAGTCGAAGCCAGTATTACTTTTCAAACATAACATATCAGAGCATAGCTTGTAACACTTCTTTTTTTTTCTCGTTAAACTAACAATTTTTTTCTCTTGCTCATCCAGTCACTTAGATATCTTTCAAGTAACCAATAAAAAATGTGTCACTTCACTAACATTACTAGTAGATCCATTACTAAAACGCAATGAAGAGAAATGTCTTAGCATTGCAAAAATAGGCACACAAGTGCGATATTCTGATTCCAACATTCCTCAGATACAGGGCATTGCAGAAAGAGATGCAGAAAACCAGAATCTTATCCTTCACATTTTGAAATAATTCCAACAGCAAAAGGAAAAACTAACAAAGAAATCAATAAACTAACTAACTAGAGTTGCAACCCTAAATCAGAAACATTTCTAATCAACATCTCCAATCCACATCCTGGAATGGTTGTTATATACTACTACTACATTTTTTGCCTCTTAAGTTCTTACGACATCTCTCTGAACCGAGCAATGGCCTTCTTTTGTATCAGAGTCTTGTAACTGTCACCAGCCTGTACTTCAAGGTTTGGGTCCACCTTCTTGGGCTGATGACTTCCAAGTCCTGCTCTACGTTCAGATGCTTGAGCTTGGACTGGCTCTACCATACCACTTCCATCCTTCCCCAATCCCTGAATTCATGACAATAAAAGAAACCAAAAACAATTCCCAAAATACAGTGTTAGGCTTTGACATACGAGAAGGAATACCAATTTGCAGCCAGGGCATCACGAGCTCATACAAGTATACACACAAAATGCAGCATTAACCTCCCACATATTTTAGAAGAAAAAAAGGTTGTAACCCATAATAAACAATTCAGCAGCACCGGACCGATGAAATCGATATAAGCTTCTTTTTTATCAGTAAAATCAATATAAGGTTATTAGTTGGGATCCATATAGGGTACAAGGGAAGAACTAAATCTGTATTAAGTGATACCAATTAGTTGGAATATGTTATAGTAATATCAGCATGTTTACTTTAGGTCCAATGTTTTTATGAGTATTTTGGTCCTGTAAGAGATCTACAGGCTAGTGGAGAACTTCTAGTGCTTTTACTTCTATTTTTTTATTTTATTTTGATATAATATTGGACTAAGATGAGCTTAAATGGAGCGGTATGACCATTGAGGATCCATAAAGCCATCCCAACTTGCTTAGGGTTGAGGTGTAGTTATTGTAGTCGTAATTAGTACAAGGTTATCAACATTTTTAGATGAAGAAGATTATGAACAACATTTTTCTGCGATCAAATAGAAACGAAGTCTATGAAGAGTTGTAAGGTAAGAGATGATACCAAGCCCTCCTGCCATCCCATGTTGCGGAGCATACGGTTGCCCACATTACTCTCGTCGATAGCCCTGTCAGCAGAGATCACCTCAAAGCTCTGACTATTTGCTTCTGCACTACGTCCACCTCCAACACCAGGTGGGAAAGGTGTTGGATCAAAAACACCTCTTCTAGATGTTGAGTCTCGATCTTGAAGCCCAGCAATAATAGAAAACAAATTTTCTCACAAGTTAATACACATACCAAATCTAGCAACCACCATTGGAATCTTCATCTTTTGAAGTTTTCCAACTAAGCAAGGTCTGGACCTACGGAAAAGTTTTCAACTATGGAAGAATTGCATCCTATTACAGAAATGAAGATAAGACACTTACAAAAAACCATGGCGCATTAGAAACCTCAGGAAGAAAGGGAGGGTGGGATAGGAGGGAGGGAGAGAGGGAGAGAGATGCAAAGCTCAAACAAGCTGCATTAGCCCAAAATGTTGTGTGAATTCTTACTTGAATCTCCAGGATCTGATGCATCATCTCCAAAAGCTGAAGATGAACCATATAAGCTCCTCCGCTCAGCAGCACGATCTCGGTATGCAGTTGTAGTTTGAGACTGCTCCTTAATAGATGGAGGCTGCGATGGCATCTCTGAGAACCTTCTTTTACCACCTCCAGCGGGTACTGGGGGCATATAAGAACCCAATGCAGATGCATCTGTCCTAAAGGGCGCTGCAGAGGCATCTGGATTTGTTAATGAGGGAGCTGTGCTTGGTGGCATGGTATGTGAGGTGGATGAACTTCCAGATGATCCTGTATACAGGGTATCCGATTTCACCACTCCTAAACCAGAACCTCTTATTACGCCCTTCAGAATGCCCCCAGAGCTGTTAGTCACAGACCTAGGCCTATCCTGAGACTCAAAACTCACAGATTGAAAAGTTGAGTTTCCTGCAAGTCCTGGACTGGCTGTAGCATTCTCTCTAGCAGTCAAGGGCTCAGCTTTTAACTTGGTTTTTGCTGCAGGTCCTACTGAGTTAGATCTCTCTTCACCCACTGTCTGGTTGTCTTCAAGCGCCACGCGGGGAGCTTGACCTTCATGACTTCTTTGCTTCCACATTGACAATACATTATTCATTTTCTTCTTATTGGCAAGGATGCTGCTTTTTGAGGCAAGTTTTATCTCTTTTGCCTTCTCCTTCTCTTTCTTTTCAGCAGCTATTGCTGCAGAGGCAGCAGCCTGGATAGCGTCGGGTAGTGAGGCAGCTTTCTCACCAGCTACTACNAAGCCTTCTCACCAGCTACTACAATAGCTGGTGCAGATATAACAACTTTCTTAGTGTTTGAGCCATCAGATGATTTGGTAGTTTCAGTTTGTCCCTCTGCTGCTTTGGTGTCATTGTGATTGGTACATGGTACATATTGCTGAGTTTTCTGGTCGTAAGTATACCAGATCCCATTGTTACCGTCATAATACAAACCTGCAAAAGCAACAATAATTGCGATGGTGTCACATTTTACCTACACCCGTAATTACGTCCTAGGGTTTACCAAGACCTTTTCATAACCCAGCTCCCAACACATAAACTTGAGAAAAGAGAGAATCACTACAAGATGAAACAGAAATAGAAAGATAGTTTTTTCCCAAGTATTATTAATGCAATAGCAGCAATAATCACATAAAAAATAGGCTCAAACAAGACTGCCAGATGAAACACAAACCTCCTGAAAGAATGAAACCTAGCACACCCTTAAAATAGGCAATTGGACAATATTTGGTTGAAGTTGGAGGGAAAAAAAAAAAAAAAGAGCACTTGAAGTTGAAGTTAAAAAGAGTATTTGAAAGTTAAATGTGTTTGGACATTAATTTCACCTGAAAAAATGAAGTTGAAGATTGGTGAGTAAAAACAATTTTCACTTGAAATGCCCCTCAAACAAGTCTTTCAACACTTCACCCCTATTTGAAATACTAAAGTTCAGTTCAGTATTTACAAAATAATAAATGATATTTATGGCCAAACATAAGTGGAATTGGTAGATTATTGGACTGAGAAAATAAGACAGCAGGTGCACAACTCAGTTAAAGTCATTGTCATTCACCCCCCCCGGCCCACACACACAAAATAAAAATTCCCCCTGATCATAGTATAGATTCTCATACAAAAGCAAAAGAAATAATGTGGAACCATTTCTCCCTACATGTGAAGAATTTTCAGATGGGTGACCTTTCACACTTAGCAGCTTACGAGCAAGGGACCCGAATGCCATCACAGTTCCCAGCACTTTATAGACCAAATGTAGATATACTGGACTATAATCTCTAATTGTTTATAAAGTAAAAAAAAAATCTCTATCCAGCCAAGTCTTCACGAGAAGAAACGGGCACCAAAATTGCACTAGCTTCTCACATTCCGGGGTCAACTTGAAGGACATTGAGATCTGCAACATTATCTACTAAATGGACCTCTGCAGTCTCACTTAGACTGCCATACAACCCCATGGCACCCAAAAGGCACAAGACGTGAGCAGACAAAGTGTCCACTATTTCATGTACTTAGTTAAAAAGCATCAGCTAATAATATGTGCTTAACCAGACTTGGTTCATATATGACACGAAGCGAACAGTGGTTTAACATAAACTGGAAACAAACCTGTATTCCCATCATAATAAAAACCAGAAGCAGCATCATAATAATAGCCAGAAGCTTCATCCCAGACAAATCCAGATTGTGGAGCAGAATTCTGACCAGCAACTTCTCCACTGCGCTCTTGTCCACCAGTTGACAGTTTATCATCAGGATTATATTCTTTTGGTGCCCATCCAACAGCATCATACTAAAAGCATGGAGGAGGTATAATTAGACAAGTGTAACTTGACCTAATTCTATTGGATGATTATAGTGTGCTAACATGCATCAAATGACGAATCAACATTTTAGAGTCTTCTATTGAAAGATGAACAGATGTCTATCCAACCAACGTAAAAGAAAGCTACAAACTACACAATGCCTAAGCTATCACTTGGTGACACTCAAAGCTCATTCTTTGCAGCAATAGTCTCCCCATCTCACCCCCCAACCCTGCCGCAAAACAGAACAGAATTATGAAATGAAACAACAATAGTTAGCTTTTTACTCCCATATATTCCAAACAAATA